CCGCTTCTGGAGCCCCAAGCTTGGGTTCCTCGTGGTTCCCTGGTCTTGTTCCTCGGTTTCCCCGGCATTGCGAAGAAATGCCAAGCAATGCCAAACACTGCGCCCATGCAGTAACAAAAACTTTCCCCTAATTTAATTTCGCGCCGGAATCATTTCAATATGGGGTACCCTGGAGCTCTGGACCACTTCCTGGGGACTGTCTTTTCGCCCAGATCGTGTTTTGATGGTCCCAGGGCCCGGCGAGGGCCCCCAGAGGCCGAAAAAGCTTTCCGTACCGATTTGTTTCACCGCGCGAGAATGTCAGGGATGTTCGTCGCCCGTCTTTTTTTTTTTGGTCGTCGCCCGTAGAATCCTCGGCCTCCGTCGTCGAGATGCCGTCCAGGAGCAGCCGGCGCAGCACGGCGACGGGCAGCTGCCGCAGCCCGCCCTGCATGGCCTCGGGGCCGGGGGTGTACGTGAAGGGCGGTCTGCACCACACCACCTGTGCAGGATCCAGGATGGCGCAAGATTCGCCATGAGGGACACTAGGGGGCCACATGCGAACCCCACCCCTACCCCTACCCCCCACGATTTCTGAGGGGGAGGGTGGGGTTCACTTCGCTCGAGAGCTCCCGAGCGAAATGAACCCCACCCTCCCCCTCAGAAATCGTGGGGGTAGGGGTGGGGTTCGCATTTGGCCCCCTAGACACGGGTCCCGAGGGAAGCGGGTCCTGAGGCTTTGCCCTTCATGGGTCCCATGACTGTTGGAAGACGACGCTGGGTGAAGATCACGTCCTGGGGAAAGGCTCGTTTCCCTCAAGACAAGTTTCCCTCACGACCCGTTTCCCCATGTTAAAAGATCGAGTCGGAAAATCGAATCGGCAATCGAAACACATCAAATCGGCAGAAATCGGCAGGCAGGTCAGAATGCATCAACATCGACGCCAGGCGGCCCGAGCCGAGGCTTGCACAAAAAAAAACCCAAACCGAGAATTCGGAGTCGAATCGAGTCGAAATCGGAACCCTCGGAATCGAATCGATTCGGATCGGCAATGTCGAAATGGCTCCTGGCAGGACAAGTCATCATCGAAGCGTAAAATCGGATCGACTCGGAACGTGCCTCAGATCGTGCCACATCGGCACGGAGTCTGAATCGAGTCGGATCGGCCGCGCCAGGGGGCGCAACGACCCATGGAAGCATCAAGACGCCCCGGGTCCTCGGGATATCAGAAACGAATCGGACCGAGCTGGCCAGAACCTACACTAGCGGGACAAACAACTCCATAGACGCAACGAAACTTTCGGACCTTCGCGCCGATATTCTTGGACCCGCGCCGGACCCCCCTCCCTGGAGCGCGGAGCCCGCCAGGGGCGGCGCTGGAGGCGCCGCCAAAAGGGGAACCAAGAGTCGATCCAAGAAATCCGCGCGGAGCTCCGAACGTTCATGTTATGCGAGATTTGGTTGGGCGCCCGAGTTATCCGGGGTAACTCGGGTCCGGGGTAACTCGGGCTTGGATTCCCGAAGAAGGAACCCGAGTTAGCAGCCCTGACCCGAGTTACCCCGGATGATTCGGGGCTCTGGACGCCCGAGTTATCCGGGGTAACTCGGGTCCGGGGTAACTCGGGCTTGGATTCCCGAAAAAGGAACCCGAGTTAGCAGCCCTGACCCGAATTACCCCGGATGATTCGGGGCTCTGGACGCCCGAGTTATCTGGGGTAACTCGGGTCCGGGGTAACTCGGGCTTGGATTCCCGAAGAAGGAACCCAAGTTAGCAGCCCTGACCCGAGTTACCCCGGATGATTCGGGGCTCTGATTTGGCGTCTCGGAGTATCGAATCAAATCGATTGGGTCGAGATGGGCCCCCGAGGTCTCGATGTGTTCCCGAGGAGGGCAAGGTCGTCGTGCCGACGCGCGTTCCGGTGGCCCCGAGGCTCCTCCTCCTCGTCCACTTCCTCCTCCTCCTCGCTTCCTCCTTCTCTTCTCTTCCTCCTCCTCCTCCTCCTCCTCTTCCTCCTCCTCCTCCTCCTCCTCTTCCTCCTCCTCCTGGCCGCCAAGGGCCGACAACAGCAAGAACACTCCACAACAAAAACGGCGGCCGCTTCTTTCTCCTGCGACGCGGGAAGGTACAGTCAACCCGTAGAAATAGCAAGGGTGCGCCATAAAGGATGCAAGGGCCTCGGAGGGTCATGCGAACGTTTTTTGTTCAAGCAATGCTGGCCAGCGAAAGTCGCTCAGGAGGGGGCCGAAGGGGCCGGGATGCAAAGGCAGCCTTGGAAAGGATGCGAGTTGACTGTATCGATTCCGACCTGGTCGAACATGGAAACCGATCGAGATATCGAAATCGACGTCGGAGTCGAGATGTCGAGACGATGCAAGTCTATACCGATCTAGAACCGAGATCGGGTCGAGGTGGGCCCTACCTGTGTGCGGGGCGAGGCCCAAAGGCGCACGTCGGCGCTAAAGAAGAGCTCCATCAGGGGCGGGCAGACGCTCTTGCCCGCCATAGTGGCCACCACGTGCCTCGCGAGGGGAGGCAGGAGGCCTCCTCCTGTTCCTCCTCCAACTCCTCCCTCCTCTTCCCTCCTGCTCCTCCTCCTCCACCTCCTCCGCCCTCCTCCTCCCGACTCGCTCCTCCCATCCTCCCTCCTGCCTCCCCCCTCCTCCCTCGTCCTCCGTCCTCCTCCTCCGTCTCTTCCCTCCTCCTCTTTCCTCCTCCCTCCTCCTCCTCCTCCTCTTTCACCTCCTTCTCCTCCTCCTCCTGCTGCTCCCTCCGTCCTCCTCCTCCTCCTCCTCCTCCTCCTCCACCTCCTCCGTCTCCTCCTCCCTCCCTCAAAACGCTGCGCAGTCGATCCCTTGTCCGCACCCGCGTCGCGGTGCCCGCGCTCAGGCGCCCGCCGCCGCGGCCGCGGAGGCCCTCCGGCACCAGCAGACGACTTGTTTATTGTTTCAAAGAAAGGGGGCGAGGAGGAGGAGGAGGAGGCCACCAACACATCCTCCATCCCGAGGATCAAGAGGTCGTAAACGAGCAGGGGGGAGAGAAAGATACGTGTGTGCCACTCACGTCGCTCGAGCTGCGGGCTACGTACGGGTTAGTACCTAGTATGTAGCGTAGTACATGCAGTATCCCTGCGTCTAGCGCAAAACACGACGCATGGGGATGTGTACAACGTATCGGCGTACGGTGGTACATCGCTCGAATGGAGACAAGACGCAATATTGTTACTGTGCTCGGAAGCCAGTCGTACCCATGAAGGGCGATCGCCGCGTGCACGCTTGTGTGGCTTTCCATGATAGCTGAACGCCCGCGCGTGATGTACGGATATGTAGACAATGGTAAACCCATGGTGTTGTTGCGTTCTTCAACAAGTCCATAGCCTTTCTTCAACAATCCCAGTGTCGTGATGATCAAGCGGGTAAATCCAATGTTTTGAACTACCAGTGAATATTATGAGAAAATCGAGTTTTCTCGTCGGGAACCTCGTTTCCGTGGTTGGTGTCATCGACCTTCGTGTGCGTGTACCGGAGTGGCGTTCGATCGTATTCGACATGTTTTTGCACGTGAATATTGGCGACGGTAGCGTGCTCAAGGTCGCCGGTACCTGGAATAGTCGTACCATTATCCAGTGTGACGTAGTTCTGGATGGTAGTGTGGTCCAAGGTAAGGTCGTAATATAATCGTATAGCCGAGTCCCAAGGATGTTCCCACGATCAAGTAGCTCCGTACCGACATGCAATCGCTGTGTCGTAGACGTATCGATCGTTGTGGAATGTTCTCCGTAGTAACATGCCCTCTGTCCTCTTCGCAGGTGGCTTTGTATATGTCGATGCGTTTGTCGCGTATATCCTGGAAGTTGTGCTTCAGCGAAGATTTGACCATCGCGATATTGAGATCTGTTTTGTCGTGTATGCTGGTGGGGATGTTGCAGACGACGTGTTTCCACTTACTGTCGTAGCTCAAATATCGTAGCCAGGTGCCTGCCTTCGCCAACGTAATTAGTTGCTTGCTGGCGACGTCGGGAGCAGCATCTTGGAAGTTGGGCGCGAAGGTATACGCAGCCATTGCTGCGCGTTGTCGGGTGTAACCAATTGCTCGAGCCAGAGCTAAAGTGATGACGTAATAATTGTTAGCGGTATGTACGGAAGCGTTCAGTGACCGGGTAAGCTAAACAGGCAGGCAGGCGGATTCATGGTCAGTGCATCGGTCGCATCTCGCGTCGTAAGCCTGTGTCCCACGGCTAATGAACAGCAGTACCTCTGGTAGCCGTACTTGGTGCAAACGCAATGATGCAAGCCATCTGTCGTGCCCCAACGTATCCTGTAAAGCTTGGCCAGGTCGGGGGTGATAAAGAACGGGGGGTGCTGGCGACGTGTGCCTTTGTCTCGAAATGGCATATACGTGGGGCACGAAGTCACGCATCGCGCAGTATGTACACGTGCAGGAAGGTGGTACTACAGGGGAGGGAGCGCGCCCGAGGTGTAGGTACTGCGCGTGTAGCAATACGGGCCGTCGTACTCTCATCCCAAGATGTCTTCGATCTGGTGCTCGACGTCGGCGTTGCAATTTTCGACCCCGTCGTAATCGTAATCGATGCTCGGTCTTGTACTCGCCGTTCATGAAGGCGTGGTGCGCCAAATCCATCAGCCTGATGAAATCGAAAACGCGCCTGCCGTCGGGCTTGTCCGGGTCGTTGTAGTAGCCGACCTGGGCGCAGGCGCCATCTGACGTGCGCAGGCGTACAATGATTTGTCCGATGTAGCGGCGGTCGGGTCGCGATGCAGGTCCTCGCCGTTGCATCTGATGGCGCCGCGGGGGTGGTCCTGCACGACGACCTGGCCCAAGTGCTTCTTGTCGCATTCGGAAGACTTCATGAGTCGTCTCTTTGGGAAAGCGTACTTGAGGTTGCCGATGATGATGTCCTCGTCCGCGCTCGTCGGCGCCGCCGGGGTCTCCTCGGGCGGTTCGTCGAACGCCTGGGCGCCAAGCGTCGCGGGCCCGGGCGCAGTGGCCAGGTGGGCCCGCCAGGGCGGAGGAAGTGCGAAGGTGGATCGTTGGGCCTGGGGATTGGCTCTGTCGCGCCCCGATCCTTTGTCGCCGTCTCCCGAGTCCTTGTCGCGCCCAAGGACCTTGTTGCTGTGGCGCTTGACTGAATGGCTTAGGGCCGTGCCCAGGTTCGATATTAGGAACGAGATGTACTCTTTGGCGTTATGCGTCTCGACTTCGCATCCCTGGGCTGGGGTCCGCAGCCGCTCCTGGAGTGCGTCGTCGCGTGCTCCGACCTCCATGTGCAGCTTCTTCTAGGCGTTGCTGTTCGCGAAGTAGGGGCGCGATGCTTCGCCGCCGCCGCCGCGTCGCGCGAGGAGCGCGAACGGTGACGGATGGCTCGCGTGGCGTGAAAGCTTTGGGCCGAGGTGCTGCGTGTCCTGGGCTCGCTGGCTCTGCCTGGCCGCGGTGCGGATGCGCCCCTCGGCGGGTCTCGTATGCCTGATGGAACCTGGAATGTGAATGCGTCCTCGCGGTAGCAGTGGGGTGCTCATTCCATAGCCAGGAACTTGCTGGTGCGGTGTGCCCCTGTGCGAAAATTCGATGACATGATGTACTCGATGGACATCTGCTTCGGCAGCGCACGCTGGTCAGGGAAGGTGTGGGGGGGGGGGGGGGGGGGGGGGCGAGAGGCGGGCTGGCGGGCGTGGGAGACAAGGGCAAGGCGCGCTCGGGGTACGTCTCGCGCCCTCGCGGTTGCCCCGTAGAGTCTGCGTCGGAGTGGGCAGCGCGGCGCCGATAACAATGATCCCGCGATCGGGCGAGCGCGCGCGCCACAGGTCGCAAGTGGAGCGCGCGCGGCCTGGGGTAGGTGCTGAAGGCAAGCCTGGGAGCGCACTCGCCTGGCACTAGTGGCCGCTGACATATGTTGTGCTCCTTGCTGGGCAACTTGTCGCTTTCGTCCTTCTCGCCCGCGGCGGTCTTGCGCTTCTTGGCGATGCCTGCTAAGTAGTGCGCGGCCTGAGAGTAATAATCCATGCGTTCGGCCTTGTTGTCCTCGTCCCTGTCGTTGCAGCGCGTCTCGAACGCTTCTGTCCGCGAGTTCTGCGAGCCTGAAGGATGCCGCGGGGCGTTCCTGAATGTCCGCTGCGGCGCGTTCTCGCCGCCCTCGGAGCGCAGCCTGACGCTAACCCGAATGTCGTCGTTCTGGAACGGATTATGATGGGGAGTCGCCGCGGCGCGGAGGCGGTCTCCGCCCTGCGCGCAGTTGCGCGCGACAGTCTGCTCCAGGTCGCGCAACTGATAGTCGTTGAGCACCTCGAAGAGCTTCTTCTGCAATGTGCTTGTCGCGGTGGCGACCGTCGCCTCAGTGCCAATAGGCGTCGGCGCTGCGATGTTGTCGGCGACCGGCCCGCAGTGTACCATGATGCTGATGACTTCGGGGTATTCGTCGACGCTCGTGTGCCAGTGCCACTGGCGAGGCACCTGGAAGGAGCGTCGCCGCGGTAAATTGCACCTCTGATCGCGGGTCGCCCCCGGGCGCTGGTCGATCGCGAAATCTCCGCAGACGCGGCCCCTGCTGCATTTTTGAACGTGAACAGCTTGTCCGCGCGGCGTTCGCCGCAATATCGTGCCTCGTGCCCCGCGCCCTCTATGATCTATGCGGAAGGACGCCGGCCTCATTCAGTATTCGAGCCGCACTTGGCCTCGTTGCCTCTACTGGGCACGTGTATATACTTTTTCTTGACGCGCGAGGAGGAGTCGTAGTTGCCAGCCTCAATGGAAGTTGCAGATTCCCTTTCCGAGGGAGCTTGCTTGCGAGAAAAAGGCTTCGGGGGTGTGTGAGGGGTTTCCAAGTGATCTGGGGCGCAGGCGCTGGGCGCCCTTCCCAGTCGGGGCGTTTGCCGTCCCCGTGCTGCCGCTGGCATGACTTGGGCGGGGGGGAAGGCCGTGGCCCTGGCCCCCGCGGGCGACCCTCCCAAACCGACAAGGGCATCATTGTTGGCGCCGTTGCGCGCCGTCCACAGACGCGCCCTCCGAATCCTCGGTGGCGCATTTTCATGCGACCGCCATGCCACTTTGTGGTATTCCAGCTGGTCACTGTAGCAATGAGACTGTATCCGGCTTGCTGCTGAGCCAGGGCGCCGCGGCGGACATGTACTTTAGCATGTGCATGCCGCGCGCGTGAGGCTCGAGGCGTGCTGGGGAGGTATGAGACAGAACCTGTCCCGCGATATTCCCGTCGTAAGTGTAAATAACGGGGCTGGTCGGAATCGTGCTATACGTGTGCGGGCTGGGTTGGCGGCGGATGATGGCGATGATGTCGGCACCGCTAGTCTGGTTCCCTGAAGCGTCGGTAGCGGCCCGCGCGTGCCGCGCAGCCTAACATGTCCGAGATGGTCAATACTCGCGAGAACCCTCGAGTACTCGTTCCATCTGTCCGCGTGCCCCCGAGCCAGCGTAAGGCGTCGCAAGTCTAGGCGACGGCGTCGGGCAGTCTCCAGTCCCGCCTGAAGAGCTTACTTGCTGCATCGTGTCC